ATTTTGTAATGGACTATCAATTGAGGATTTATATTTATATTAGACTAACAGTTTTGTAATATTGTGTGATTTGCTGTATATGTAACCTGCTTTTGTTGTTCATCTTGTTTGTATGCCGCCTCCTGACTGGGATGGATGGATGGATGGATGGATGGATGGATGGATAGATAGATAGATAGATAGATAGATAGATAGATAGATAGATAGATAGATAGATAGATAGATAGATAGATGTCATAGGCCAATAGTTTGTAGAACCGAAATTCTGTCACAACACTAGAGGAATGTCATAATGTTATTGGTTAACAATAACCATATTAAATAAATTATCTTGTCCTGGCTGAAACGGCTTAATCCAAGAGGGACAAAAGGTTTGTTAATACATGCATAAGTTCAAAGGATGTGGGTAAAGATTTGAGGTCAAACTGCATTTCTTGAATTCCATTTTTAAAAACAAACCCGATGAGTCGGTTTTACAGGCAAACTGCACAACAACAGCATGAGTTATCTAAAACATTAAAAACTATAAATTAAAACACAAAATGATATAAAGAATGAAAGTATTCTGTTTTGTATTCTTCGTGTTTTACTTTTGTCTGCCTGCACAGAAGAACCTGTTGACATTCACGTGTCAGATGGAGGTGTCTTCTACCCACACGTCGTGTTGACTGAAAAGCTTGTTTACAAATTTGTGGTCAACAGAAAGAAATGACTTGTACGGGTATAAATATGTACTCCAGGACTTTCTCAACACTGGCTAGTCGGTTACCCCTGAGGGAAGTGCTACGATGCAAGTTTGAGAGCCAGACTTTTTTTTATGCTAGCCGGGATGATTACACCTAAAACCCAAATCAGTGATAATGGGTATCACATCGGGGGTTTTCAACTTTCTTTGTTACTCAGGTTTTCTTCATGAGGCTCTGTGCAGGTTTCCATAAAGGCTGCAGTTTGACAGTTTCAGTCAGGAAGAACAGATAGCTGTTATTGAGAGCTCTTAAGAATGAAAACATTTAATTAAATGATGCAAGAGAGAACTGACAACTGTTTATGTTCATATATATAATTTATATATATATATAACATAACAGTTGCACATTAGAGCTCTTCGACTTTACTTAATTCCATATACTTTAAGATGATTTTGAAGAAGTGCATTTAGCTCTGTCACTGTCTCATAATGAAGTATACATGCATTCATTGACAAAATCAAGGGAACAAAATAAATGTTATTGATTAAATATTCTTTGTGATAAATACCAATAGACCCATCAATTTTCTAATCCATAAAACAGACTCGACAGGAAGTCAAGGCCAAGCATAATAACATATGAGGTGTGTCAGAAAAGTTCCAGGACTGGTGTCACAAAAGATATATTTCAAACCCAAACTACAAACTACCAGTTTTTCCCTTCAGACGATCAACCAGCACGTCTACAAACAGATCCTGTTTGCTTCGTTCAGTGCGCGAGAAGAGGCGAGAGTTGTGGCAGGACGAGTTGTGGCTGCTTCACCATGACAACACACCTGCTCACAGCGCCTTGAGCATCCAACAGTTCCTGGCTGAGAAGAACATCTCCGTGCTGGAGCAACCTCCCTACTCACTCCACCTGGCTCTCTGGGTTTGTTTCCTCTTCCCCAAGCTCAAGGGGGTCATCAAGGGGTCCCGTTTTGAAGACGTGGACGACATCAAGATGGCTGTGACGACGGAGCTGCAGAGGATCCCGGAAGAATCCTTCCAGGAGTGCATGGCGGCGTGGCAGAGAAAGTTTGTTTGATTTGAAATATATCTTTTGTGACGCCCGTCCTGGAACTTTTCTGACACGCCTCGTATTTCTGCATTTTCTGCATCGCCAACTGAATGCATGTAGGTATGTAGGTTCCTGTGGCTGGAAGAGGCTTACAGTTAACTTATCATAACTGCTTCAGAAGGTTTGCAGAAATAATGTGTTTTCTCAGCTGACAGTCTCTCCAGCTTGTAAAGAACACGGTCAGGTAAAGAGACGGGTAAATGGTGGCGCTTCTTACAGCCGATTTACATCCTAAACTCTTAACATATCCACGGTGATCTAGCCAGGTTCAAAGCTACCCTCATGACACTGAAAGCTCTGGATTTAGATGACCTATTAAACCCTCTGTTCCATCAGCTTTTTGGCATGAGTCACAACAAGATAAACGGGAGAAAAAAACATCTTTCTACCATATAATTCATTTTTAAAAGTGTATTTTGAATATAACAAGTAATCCTTTATTAGTGCCTGTTCCATAGTTTCAAAGTAAGCCTGATTTGAGTGTTGAATCGAGTGTCATTATCTGATTATAATGCAGCAGTGAGACTCATCCAATGTTCCTCGAAGCAGATGCAATCATCTCACAATCATCTGCGCTATTGTTTCCTTACTTCAAAGTTTGATTTCAAGACTCAAACTAAAGATGGGCATTGAGGGCATAAATATAGTCAAATGGCAGCAGGCAGCCAAACACTCAAATATACTGTTATCAGCCTTTAAAAAGTAGTATCAGTTAAGCCCCAATAATGGGGAGATGGGAGGTTAATTGGTCTCTTGTCACTGCATTCTGAATGGCCTTGTCTGTGGCAAGCTCGAGCTGAAAAGAACAAAATCCCCGGCAAAGTAAATTGTAGGGGATCTGTTGCTATGGTTACGCCGTTGGTACATTATCGGCCGTGTCTCCAGGGTGTGAGCGAGGGAGGGGGGGCAGAGAGACAGATTTTATGTGTTAATTATAGCATTGTTAATAACAGTATGCGATTCTCGTGAAGAAAAGTCACGTACAAAAGGAGGCAGGACACAACACTGTGCAGCGGACAAACTGAAAAACAAATCTAAGAGCACGTCACACAACAACACACACACACATCTACACATGCGCACATTATCGTCAAAAGTCATGAGGAAAGTTCACACATGCAAGCACACGTGTATAATCCTCACATGGAAGGATAACACACCAAAATCCAAATTACACACAGCTGAGTACCAAATCTAAAGCAGGACTCCTCTGATGGGGAGTCTCCTCTCTGATGCCACAAGTACCTTCTTCTACACAAACATGCATTTCTGACAAACTCTTTCTACGCTGCCATCTGTGTCGTCACTGTGTCAGCATCTCTGGATACTACCAAGAAGGAATTTAATGACCAGAAGGAATTTAGCTGGCTAAACTGTTACGCTTGCATATATTTGCACCTTGGCTCCGGCCACATGCATCTCAACCGTGCTTCTGATACCAAGGCTTCTGAAACACTTTTTAAACTCCACATTGTCACAGACCTCCTCTGCACCAGCTTCTTTAAAACTGACTGTTAATGTTTTCAACTTGTCATGACTTTGACTATCCGCTTAGTGCCAGCTGTGCATGTGTTACCTGGTGTCATGCACACACCTACAGTAATGCAGAGCAAACACACACTTGACAAAGGCAGGCTGGAGACAACACAATGACTTTAATGTCTAAATGTAAGTGCTAGACCTTATATATTATGATGCAAACTTATATGCATGAAAGTGTAACTGTACTTCAATTTGAATAAAATTTGAGAAATATTTCTTGGAACATTCCAAAGTAAATTTTACAGGAAATTTATTACCTGGTAAAAGATTTAATTTAGAGTGGATTGTAGGAGCAATTTGTTCTTTTAAAAACAGGCTAAAATGTTGAAATGTTAAAACATGACATGTCAGAATATTGACTTTCTTTCTTCTTTGCTGAGGACCTTTTCTGCATTTTGCTTCCTATCTTTCGCTCTACTGTCAACGATTAAACCTCCACTGAAACATCACTCAATCAATATCATTAGAAGCTTCATCAAAATACATTTTAAGTCAAAAGTATGACTTAAAAGCCATAATTTTAATATCCCTCTCTCCAAACAATCCAGCTGAAGTCACATTAAATCTCTTTTCCACTTCACAACCATCCCTTACATGACCTGTGCCAAGTTGCACCTTTTCTCCAACAACTGCAATGGAATCACATTCTGATATTGTTGTGCTACATCCATCCATAAGTGTAAGCAGATGCCTCTGCTGGCAGGTAAACAAATACAAATGACAAGCACATGTTACCTGCAGTTATAGCGTGAGCCCCAGTGAGCTCCCCGTTGAAGCCGTTCTCCCTGGCAGAGTAGGCAGCTGTGGCCATGTGAGCCCCGCCCGGCTGGCAGGTCCTGTAGGCTGAGGAGGAGAAACCATTGGCTCCGTGGGTGCCACCCGGCTCCTGCCCCCCTGATGGGTCCCACTGGGGGGCCCCGTCTTCAGGCTTTCGACTGTCTGCCATGCTTTTTGCTATAGCTAGCAGCCGGGGAGGTCGGGCGAGGGATGGGGTCTCTCCTTCTGAGTGAAAGACAGGAAGAGACGGAGGAGGGAGGAGAGAAGGCGAGGCATGGTGAAAACTCAGCACGTCTGTGTGTGTGTGTGTTATTAACTGCGATGTTAGCAACGTTACATAAAGGAGAATGAGCAGTGTGCCGACCAGAGGAGGCTCTAGGACACACTGCATCAGTCACATTCACAAATCTCTTTTTGTCAGTCATAATCCCTGCTGCAGCTCCGCTGAGCTTCACTGTCAACAATTCTGAAAGTGCAGCTGTGCTTGTGCGAGTTTGTGTGTAGGTGGCTTTGTGAAATACTGTCCTTGGATGTTGGTGGGCAAATGACAACCACTGGACAAAACCCTATTGATTTGTGTGTGTGTGTGTGTGTGATGACTCATGCAGCCAGTGGTTCAGGTGGAAATCACAACTGGTGGAAAATGAATAGAGGACCTTGGATTTTAGTGACTCATGCAGGGTGGTCGGGATTAAAAAGGTGGGCTCTGCTCGATTTGACAAAATCCGATCCAACGTCAGACAGAAGAAATCAGATAAACACGGCGGCACGGTGATATATACATTTAAGAACTCGGAATAGAAGAGCGTGATCTGTAAAACACGCGTGTCCAATGTTGACCAGCACGCAGCGCTTACAGTACATATGCTAAACACGAAATCCCGCGCTGAGTGAAGATGATTGATTAGCGCAGCATGAAGAGGAGATCAAGCAGAAGCAAAAGGGGGGAAAATATTGATCAGCCCACATAATCGCCTGAGGCAGGGACAGGCAGTAAGATTCAATGATCTCTTGGACAATATTGGACAGAAGGTAGGGGAAGGAGATGAATGGGCTTGGTGGAGTGGAGGATCAATAAATAAGGTTGTGAAGTCCTTTACTCATGCTCGGCTTCTCTTGTGAATATATAGTTGCGTTATCTATCTTACCTATCTAATACACGGATCGTCATATTTTAATAATTAAGGTTTTATTTGTTATAGCTGTCCGACTCTGTTAATGCTTATTTTCCGGCAGGTTCTTCCAACACCAGCACCCGCAGTCAAACACAAAATAAAGGTAAGGCTCTGAAGGGGGATTGGTGATTTTTTTCCAGGAGGGTTGTGGATGGCAGTGCTTCAAGCAGAGCAGCCTGTGTAGTTGTGCATAAGGGGGTGTGTGTGTGAAGGAGCAATTTGTCATTTAGCTCTGCAGTCCACAGAGATGCAGAGACTGAAGGGGAAGTCTGCTGGAGAAAACAGGAGTCAATAACAGCAGCCTGAGACCAAGGTAATGCTACAGTGAGCACTAGTCACTGCATCCACAGCACATTCAATACTACTACTCACTGTCTACCCAGCGAGACAATAGAACAGAACACAATAGAAAAGACTGGAGCAGAGAATGCTAAGGAGGAAAATAAACACAAATACTATTACGTCAAAGTAACCGATTAATAACTGAGCCGGTTCGATCACCCCAGCGTCACATGTTCTGATTAAGTAGCAGCGAAAAGCAGTTAAGCAAGTAAGAAGAAAAATCGTGAAGGACAAACAGAAATGCTATATTGAAAAACAACTCCAGACGGTAGTCAGGCTGTATTTCAGTTCGGCTGTACTTAAGTGCAGCATTTATCACGTTCACTATCTTAGTTCAGCGTATTAGCCTGCTGGTGTTTGTGATTCGGCACAAACACGAGGCGCTGTGCAACTGCAGCAAACGCAAAAGCCATTTGTACTACAGGTACCTGTTTATAAAGCAAAGTATGACAACGTGGTGTGTAGTACATTTAGAGGCTGCCAGTGTTTGTCCTGTTAATATACTCAGAGTCCCAAACTTGATCCTCATACCTTGTGAGACAGTTGGATCTTCAAGACCAAGAGAAAAGCCAGGCTGCAAGTTATGCACTTGTGGCCAACGAGGAACGACCGACAGCTACGGGTCTGTTTTTCTGGTGTGAGTCAATGCATGATGAACAGTAATTTATGCCATGTAGTTTTTGAACGTGACCGCCCTTTAACGAGGGCAGCTTGTCAGATGGTTTTCTGTAAAAATCTGCATCATGAGGAGGAAAAAGTCTGGAGATCACGAAAACTTCAGAGATTCATTATCTGGAAATGATGAATGTTGGAATTAAATTTTGTGCCAATTAAGCTGATTGCAGTTAAAGTATTTCACGAGATAAGTAGTCTGACTCACTAGATGCAGAACAGACATATAAACCTGAAGCTTTCTCCTCCCCTTCGCTATCTACATATGACTGTTTTTAAAAATTACAAAGTTAAACAACAACAACAACCTTTGGGTGAGCAACCTACCACTTTCAAGTTTGGATCAGCAGCCCTGTTAGTTTTTGTAATGACAGTGTTTGCCTCCATGCATGCAAAAGTTCCACAATTCCCTCATTGAGGGGACACCATTGCTGCAACCTGGGTTAAGCACTGTGCAACATGGTAGTGATTGAGAAATAGAAACAAGCACGAACGTTTTCCCCCTAAAGCAGAATGATAACGAGGTGCAGTCACATCATTCGTCTGACTGTGCTACTTGATACGCCGGTTCACAACAATCTAGAAGCTTCATGAATGTCTTCATAAACATATTTTAGGTTAGACAAAAGAACAGTATCTCTAGAGTAACACTTTTGTATTTTTCCCAGCATTTGTACATTTGATGGTGTCAATTAAGAGGTACTTGAGCTCCACTGTTAGTAATCTGCGAGTATGTCACACAAAAAAGTTGAGAACTACAAAAAAAAAAGAAAGGATCAAGGACAGAGGAGCAGGGTAGCAATTAGCAGAAAGCAAGAAAAGAGTAGAACTACAACTGATGGCTGTAAGTCTGTGCAGCCTAAATGGTTCACAGTCAAGAGTCAGTGGAGCCTCGCATGACTCAGGTCTGATGTGAACAGCAGAGTGAATGAAGCCTCGACAGAGACTCCACATCACACAACACTGCACCTCTCCGACTGCTTTTTACAAAACTGCTCTCTCCGTCTCTGTCGGTGTATCTTGAACTGTTCCTTCACCGTCTCTTCTATTGCTTGTTCACCTACTGCGTCCCTGTTCAAGGCTCCACTGAAGAGCACTTCCAATATTAAAAGAGCCATAAACCACAGAGATGAGGCCTCTGTCCTGATGCTAACGTCTACGTGCTGTCTGTCCGTATGATGATGAAGGTGACTTTGAGCTCTGTGGCTAATGTCCAGACCCAACAAGATCTCATCCTGACTGGTGGACAGGCTGAGAGAGTCGGCGGTGGTTCAATAGATGGAGAGAAGCAGGAAGTGTGAGCTGGTTTCCTGGTGGGTGACTATGTTTGGTGTGAGTGTCTGCGTGTTTGTGCACAAGATTCTGCTGCTCGTCTGAATGAAACAGCACCCTCTTCTGGGTTAAAGTCTGAAAGGGAACAATTGGAACTATTAGAACACATTAGCATATCCAATGTGAAAATACACTTTCCTCATCAGACTATAGCACAACCTGGGCTGCAATGCATTACAGCGTCTGATCCCTGCTAACTAACAAAGACAAAACACTGGTTCAGGGTCCGATATGAAAATGTGAGCAGTGAAAATGACAGAGACAAGAGCAAAGTTAAGGCGATTAAGGCATGGAGAGAAAAGGAAAAATGTAGTCTTATCGTGATCCATTTAGGGGGAAATGATGGAGAGCAGACGTCTGTAGATCAGAATCTCAAACGATACATATTGTTCAGATAATGCACTGTCCAGTGAGAAGAGAGGAGACTCTATGAGATGGTGATATGATGGAGTTAGACGTGGGGCGTCTCAGTAGACAGCAGGTCTGTTGCACTTGGCAAAAAGCCTGTGGCACTGTGCCAGGGGGTTGGTTGATGCTGATAGGCACGCTCTCTGTGCCAGGGAAGAATGGACTTGAATAGTGAGTAGATGAGCAAAGCCGGGCAATGCTGCAACTGGACTTTCAGGACAGTTCTGTAACTCTTTAATGTGTAACTGTGGTGTTATACAATAATCATGCTGTGAGCTTTGGGCAACTACAGCCAATGATTTACTGTCAATAATCTGTCACATTACTGATACTCAAGTTTTGCTTAGAAAGGACGACGTTCTCTTAATTGATGTTTTAAATATTGGGCACCAGATGTTATGAGCATTTAGGGAAACAGGTCATTCTGCAGACAAACAAAGATGTGTATATACTCCAGTGTTACACTGTAATATTCAATAATTTTCTAACGCATTCCATGAGTCTAATGCAAAATGAAAATAGCACTTATCTAAAGCCCCGGCTTTTGATGCACCTGACCTGCTTTTAAAAGCATCTTCTCACTTATTCTTGAACATTAAGTGCAAATTATAAGATCTGAGATCTAAAGGATGAGAGGCAGAATCTAGTGGCACGGATAAAGTGAGATATATTTAAATTGAGTCTGTTGTTGTTGTTGTTGTTGTTTACATCTGGGCAGTATAAGGCAATGTGAGGCAAGTACATGTACATATATCAATACTGACATGACATGATGTTCAAAGCATGTAATTAACTACACATCTATCACTGTTTGGGTTCAGACAACGTAAATAAAACTGATATAATATTTAGAGCAACAGTCTTTCTGCTGGTCTTGTAACCATGACATTTTCATTACAGGGCGGCCACTAACGACTATTTTTCTATCAATTATTTGTTTTATATTTTTACTATTCTGACTAATAGACGGGAAAAAGCAAATTAAAGTTCCACTCTGCCACTGTCTATAAGAAATATGTGACAAGCTTTTGTTTTTTTTAACAACCCCTGTTATCCATCTGCTTTTACATTACTACGAAGAAGAAAAAAAAACAGACCTTCAACTACCTGTTACAACGATTTAACAATAGCTGAGAGGTAGTTACTGTTAGGTACAATAAAACAATAACCCCATGCATGTCACTACAAGGCCATTTCTAAACAGCATTATTTAAAAAGAAAAAGAAGCAACAAGAGCAGT